TGACACATCATTCATCTTGCGATAGTCCACACAGAACCGAATAGACCCATCCTTCTTAAGTACCAGAACAATGGGGCTACACCAGGCACTGTTGGACTCTTCTATTACCCCCATCTCCAGTATGGCCTTCAATTCCTTCTGAACCACCTTTCTTTTGTGTTCAGGTAACCGATAGGGCCGTGAACGCACTGTCACGCCCGGGTGAGTCTCAACGTGATGCTGTATGAGATTTGTGCGTCCTGGCAGGGGGGAGAACACATCAGCAAAACGCTGTTGCAACGCGGCAACGTCTGCTCTCTGGGACGGTGTGAGATGGTCATCACAATGGAGTGAGGCAGGATTGGTAGAATTTGGGACCTCAGGCCCCAACTCATCTCTCTCTTTCACCGTGGTCACCAGAGAAACAGGCTCCGCCTCTCTCCACGCTTTAAGGAGATTAAGATGGTAAATCTGTGCTGCACCTCCCCTGTCAGAACGCCCAACCTCATAATCGACATCACCCACTCGCCGTGTGACCACAAAGGGCCCTTGCCACTTGGCGAGTAATTTAGAGCTGGAAGAAGGGAGTAATACAAGTACTTTATCTCCCGGTGCAAATTGTCTGAGCCTAGTTCCTCTGTTGTACAGGCGCTGTTGACGCTCCTGGGCCCTGAGCAAATTCTCCCGTGACAACCGGCCCAATGTGTGGAGTTTTGCTCTCAGGTCCAGGACGTACTGAACCTCATTTTTACTTGGGCTCGGACCTTCCTCCCAGCTTTCTTTAACAAGGTCCAGAACCCCCCGTGGTGTCCTGCCAAACAGCAGTTCAAAGGGAGAAAATCCCGTTGAGGCCTGGGGCACCTCACGCACTGCAAACAACAGAGGATCTAGCCACCTATCCCAATTACGGCCGTCATCGTGCGCAAACCTACGGATCATGGACTTCAGGGTTTTGTTCAGACGCTCGACAAGGCCGTCGGTCTGAGGGTGGTACACACTAGTCCGAATTGACCTGATGCCCAATAACCCATAAAGTTCCCGGAGTGTACGTGACATAAACGAGGTGCCCTGGTCCGTTAGGATTTCTTTTGGGATCCCAACTCGGGAGATGACCTGGAACAGTGCCTGTGCCACACTCTTTGCAGAGATTGTGCGCAGAGGCACTGCTTCCGGATATCGAGTTGCATAATCCACTAGGACTAATACAAAACGATATCCTTGTGCGCTCCGGTGAAATGGCCCGATGAGGTCCATGCCAATACGCTCAAATGGAACCTCCATGAGTGGTAATGGGCGCAAAGGCGCTCTCGGGATGGCCGGTTGGTTAATCAACTGACATTCCGGGCAAGACGCACACCAGCGGCGTACATCTGCCCTAATGCCAGGCCAATAGAATCGGGCCATTATCCGGTTAAGTGTTTTCTCATACCCCATATGCCCCGCCATTGGGTTATAATGAGCCGCCTGGAAAACTGTTTCCCGGCGGCTTTCCGGCACCAACAACTGGGTGATTTCCTCTGCTGACTGAGTGTCACGACTCACTCTGTATAACCTGTCCCTAACCAATGCAAAATGCGGATATGTCTGCGCTGCGTCAGGGTGCACCAACTGACCATCAATTTTTATCACTTGGTCAAAGGCAAAGCGTAGAGTATTGTCGCGAGACTGCTCGAGTGGAAAATCTTCCGTGGAGCGCAACATGGGGACCTGTGGAGCCTCTGGCGGAGGCACCACAGATCCCCCCTCCCCCTCTGCAGCGTTGGACAACCTTGCGTCACCACTGAGCACAGCGCACATATCCCATGTCCCTACCGGCCGTGAACGCACCCCCGCACACTGCCCCACTAATCGATTAAACCCAGGCCAATCCGTGCCCAAAATCAGGGGGTGCGTCAGGCGGGAACTAACCGCAGCCTTAACAATATGCTTTTTACCCTTATATCTAATTTCCACGGGTACAACCAGGTATCTGTGAATATCCCCATGTACACATCTAATGTCCACCCACGATGCCTCTACCAAAGCCCCGGGTCGAACCAGGTGCTGATGAATTATAGACTGCGTGCAGCCCGAATCCACCATTGCCTGATGTATACCCCCTTGGATCCTTACCGGGACGCTGTATGTCCCTCCTGGACCGGGGGAGGGTGTTGGTGGGCCAGCAACCCGGATCACCTGTCCGACCTCCATGAGAGGGCACTCCCTGCGGAAATGCCCGGGCTGCCCGCACCGCCAACACTCCTGCCCTGACGCCTGAGGAACCCCCTGTGGGCCGAGAGCGGCACCCGTACCGACTGGACCCTGGGAAGGAGAGAGAGAAGAGGGTTGGTTACTGCGTGGCAGAGGGAGAGGCCGGGCAACAGTTTCCAGCCGGGATCTGCCCCAGCATCTCTCCCAGCAGTGTGACCAGCTGTGATGGCTGCTCCGTAGGCGGCTGCGGGACCGGCTGCGGAGGCGGCTGCTGTGGAGGCTGCTGCATGGGCGGTTGTGGATGGGACATTTCCGTGTGCTGCCCCGCGTTGGGCGCCAGTGTAGCACGCCGTGCTACAGACGGGGTTCCCCAGCACACAAAAACTCCCGGACCAGACTGTCGGTTCACGTAACTCTTTATTTGATGCACAAAGTGCAGCTGTATCGCTGCTCGGCGGCTTCCGCTCAGAGTCCTGTCTTTCGGCGCGTGTGTGTCTCCCGGATCCAGCACACTACTGCCAAGATAAAAGGTAGAGTCATCAGACAATCATTGGCAGGTGAGGTAATCAACTCACCTGGTGCCACTCTCCCAGGCCTTCCCCACACCTCTCCCTCCTGCAGCTGAGCGCAAACCACGCCCACCTCCACAGGTGCTTCTACTCAATAATGAGCAAAGGGTCTGAATACTTATGACCATGTGATATTTCAGTTTTTCTTTTTTAATAAATTTGCAAAAATTTATACATTTCTGTTTTTTTTGCTGTCAAGATGGGGTGCTGAGTGTACATTAATGAGAAATAAAATGAACTTTTTTGATTTTAGCAAATGGCTGCAATAAAACAAAGAGTGAAAAATGTAAAGGGGTCTGAATACTTTCCTACCCATCAATTCTCCTTCTAGCATTACTTCCTTATCTCCGTCTACATCAGTCATATTTAACAAAGGCATCTGAGTGTGTTCTCCAGGCATCACAACTCCAACCCATCTCAATATCATAGCCTTCGCAAAAGTCAACAGCAGTGTACAGAAACAAAACATCACACACAGTGATAAAAGAACCGCTAATAGAATCTGAACCAACACTGCTCCAAATGGTCCTAATTTATCCTGCAACCAAGCATTTGCAGACCCTCCAGCTCCTTCCGAATGACCAAACGCATCCCTTATATTCCTCAATGCATCTATAACACTAGTGATATTATCAGAACTATCGGGAATATAACAAGCATCCCCCGTCAAGTTCAAAGCCACACATAGGCCACCTTGTTTGGCTAAAATATAGTCAAGAGCCATGTCATGTTTCAACAACGTCAGTCTGTGACTTTTGAGTTTTTGACAAATATTCAAACCCTCATATAGTCTCATTCGCAAAACTCTGCAAAGTGTAGGTAATGTTATCAATGTGATCTGCCAAAAATGTCACACCATACCATGGGAATAATCCTATACCCCACTTCTCTCCTATACTTATCCTCCAATGGTAGGACTCCAAATTGTGAAATTGTGCCATTTCCCTTTTCACCCTATTTACAGAAATAGGATCAGATTGAACTCCATCAGGTGTGTCTCCCCTCTAGATGGTAAAAACCTCACGTGGGAGCTTCAACGTTGCCATGTAACAACATCCCATCCACCCATAGATAGAAATATATATGCCTTATCACCGCAAACCTACCAAATATCTTGAAAATTCCCTATAGTCACATTATCAGGCAAAAGCTGATCTCTCACCATCACAGTTCTGCTCGGTTTACGAGATGGTACATAGAAAGTTACTTTATACATCTTATCACTAGCCTTACGTTCATGCTTATCCAAGGTCATCAAATAATCATCACAATCTGATATTCCCCTAAACATCCCAATTACACCATGAGTGTCATTCGAACAAAAGCAAACTTCTGCTTGTACAGTTTTCACTTCCACTGAACCAGGAACTCCCACAATATTTTCTCTTTGATTAGTTCTGTCTATAGTTGGCAGATCCATCATCCAAGCGCACTCTCTCTTAGGTTTATACAAATGCACTGACACAGCCATCCAAGTGTCCAGCGCTGATTCTTGCTGATACTTCAACCATGATAAAGCAGTATATTGACATTTGTCAAATAAATGTTCAAGAATTATCTCTATAATTGACGGCCATGTGCAAGTTGATGGAATCCTTGTCTGTAGAGGATCTCATCTCCACAGCCTCACTTAGAGGATTCCTAGCAGTTGTAAATTTAGAAATTATCCATATGGTCATTATAGATTTTAAACCAACTGAAGTCATAGAAGAAGTTGATACACTCATGCAATCAGTCACTCACAAAACTAGAACAGTGGATGCTATCTTTTCACTCTCCACTCAAGGGGTTGTTGCTATTGCGATTCGCTCTTAAGCAGCCGCCTGTATTTGAACATCATTCAAATCTGTCGCCACAAGTGTTGTTTTGCGTGTTACATGCCCTTCCATACAGTAATTGTGCTCTGGCATGTACTGAATGAGTTCAGGACCTGCATGAGATAGATGATATTCAGTAAATAAAAAAAAGGTTTGTGTGTTTCTATTCATATCTTATCTTAAACATTATTGCACAAATAATTTAGGGCCAGATACTTAATATGGTAAATAAATGTAAATAGCAAATTTTAAATATTAAATTATTCCTGTTATATAGAAGGTTCTCCTTTCCAACTGTGACCTCTATGGACTCCTCTTTAAATATCGGTATGGAACAACAAATATGACTCTTCTTCGTATTTGAACAAAAAGGCACCCTAAATGCCTGACTGCATCTAGACTGCTTAAATAATCTGCACACACCACACAATAACAAGACAGACGGTTCATATTTAAGGTTTTAATTATAAAGTGTTTAAATGTGAAACTGACAGAACATTGTAACAGATCAGTTTAAACTTTATATATTCCCTGTGTTCCTGTGTGACCAACAGCAGACGGAGGACAAGAAGTGATTTTATACATTGGAATCACAAACTCTACAATCTACATTTTTTATGGTTAACTGAGAAACCACAAGGAGCTTTTATCAAGGACCAAAAGTTATTGTTCATAAGGGGAAAAATGCAAGAAGTTGACAGAGAAACCTGATAAAAAAAGGTCTTATGTGAACAGGGCAGCAGCTATATTGTGTATATATATAGTGTATGCTATTTTTAGAATATTTTCCATCTCAGTTGTCAGGTGCTGTGAATGAGTGTATCAGTACTGATATATATATATATGTTATCTGTGTAACCACCACCCACCTAGAACATTCAGGAACATCAGTAAATTGTTGATTTTTATTAAATTGCAATTCAATTCAATTTTATTTTATTTGTATGGCGCCAATTCATAACAGAAGTTATCTCAGGACACTTTTCAAATAGAGTAGATCTAGACCAAACTCCTTAATCTAAAAGGTTTGTTTAAGAGACAAACTTTAGCAAATGGGGTGAAATCAAAAGTGTAGTCAAAAGTCAGATATGAGTCTTCTTTCTCAGAAGACAGTGATCTGCTCTTCCTCTTCCTCTCTTTGCTCTCCCTCAGGCGTCTGCAGAGAAACAACTCAGTTCAGTTTAAATGTTTCCCAGAAGTATCTGCTAGTTCTCAACTGCCGTCATCCAACGAACCGGATCACCTCCCAGAACCTTTAACGAACCAGGGTCTGTTCTCTGCGCCTGATTGGCTGTTCCTTAACGAGCTAATTAAGCTGAGCCAGTAACTATACTGTTCAGAACAAAGGTGATTGGATGTAACAGGTCAGCTGGTAGCTGATCAGATTATCCATCAATCTGCTGATCAATAAGCTGATGAGTGTCCAAATAATTAAAAGGTAACATATACTTTATTGTTTTATACCAACAGGAAGTGATGCTTTCTGATGAACCTTTTGTTTACAGTTGATCAGTCTTATTTTTTCAATATTTTGTTAATCAATATTTAACTCTTTATCCTGTGATATAATAACACTAACAGGTTATGTTATCAATATCATATAAAATTAAATTAAATACAAACACAACTTCAATATTGTCTCAAATAATCAATAATCAATCAAGATAAACTCCACATGGGAAAAACAAAAGCCTGATACCTGAATATAAAACATACTGCAGGATTACAGGTGAGTCACAGGTGAGTTACAGATATGTTACAGGTGAGTTGGTGAGTCACAGGTGAGTTACAGGTGAGTTAACAGGTGAGTCAGAGGTGAGTTACAGATATGTTACAGGTGAGTTGGTGAGTCACAGGTGAGTCACAGGTGAGTTACAGATATGTTACAGGTGAGTTGGTGAGTCACAGGTGAGTCAGAGGTGAGTTACAGATATGTTACAGGTGAGTTGGTGAGTCACAGGTGAGTTACAGATGAGTTACAGGTGAGTCACAGGTGAGTTACAGATGAGTTACAGATATGTTACAGATATGTTACAGATGAGTTACAGGTGAGTCACAGGTGAGTTAACAGGTGAGTTGGGGAGTTAAAGATATATTTTACAGGTGAGTTATAAGTGAGTGATAAAGACGTGACGGGTGAGTTATAAATGTGTTACAGGTGAGTTATAGAGTTACAGGTATATATAACAGTCAGTGTGTGCTTTGTGACACATTTACCAGAAACAACAGTGTGTGGTGGATGATGAACTCTCTGGTGAGTCTGAGAAGATCCTGGTTCAGAGTCTGAAACAGAGTTGGGACCAGAACCACAGCCAGATTGTGAGCTGACATCTTGTTCACCTGAGAGAACACCTGGACCCTGAGGAGGAACCAGATCTGGAGTTAGCCTGCAGAGTTCAGATCTAACAGTCGGGTTTATGTCTGCACTGTGAGGAGGAGATACAACTGCAACTGCCAACAGCAGACACACTGCAACTGCCAACAGTGGACACACTGTTATTGCCAACAGTGGACACACTACAACTGCCAACAGCGGACACACTACAATTCAATTTCCCCAAATCCCACAAATATGACGGAGGACACGACCTCATTGTTTATTATCAGCTCACTGACTCCCTCTGCTGGACAGAGGTTGGTACTACAGGTACAATACTATGTGTGTGTGTGTGTGTGTGTGTGTGTGTGTGTGTGTGTGTGTGTGTGTGTGTGTTTGCGCGCGTTACATGTAGAAGTGTCCAAACAGGGCGTTCAGTGTTGCTCGGTTGTCGTCAGGAAGTTGCCGTAGCAACCGTCGGTAGGCTGAAAACCTGGAGCGCTCGTCTGAAATCACTGAGAGACAAAAAGGACTGTTGACACAGATTATACACATTATTACTGTACAGGTATCTGACCGAGCTGCAGGTACTTTTGTTACAAATACTAGTACTGCAGACGATCCTGTGATTCAGACCATTGATCTGCAGCAGTGCTACAGCCACTGCTGTCGCTCTCTGTCGGGGTGAGACAGGAGTACTACCTGTATTTGTACTAACACTGCTGTTGCTCTCTGTCGGGGTGAGACAGGAGTATTACCTGTACTTGTACTAACCTGCGGCGTGCAGCCACTGCTGTTGCTCTCTGTCGGGAATCAGACTCTCCTGCTGGCGGACATATTGTTTAAGGGCGGAGCAGGAATCCAACACACCCTGCTCATCACTATCCAGAGGGGCGGAGCTAGGTGATGTCATCAGAGCCTCCACTAGTCGGTTCACTTTAACAGCAAGACCACAGCGCCGGTACACACCCTCCACCTTCAGACCTGTGAGACAGACAGACAGACAGAGTCAGACAGTCCCATAATGCTTTGCAGAACGTATGCATATAAACCAGAAACCGACCATGGATGGTGATGTGGGAGATGCAGCGTTCGATGGCGGGCGGTACCGAACCCCTCGACCTCACATCCATTACCGGATACAGAGACTGACGAGCTGCACTGTGATTGGCTGCAGGAGGACGCTGTGGAGCTGCTCTCTGATTGGTCAGAGCTCTCTGCAGGTGGTTGAACCAGGACTGACAGCTACGCTGCTCTTCGAAACGCAACAACACACACCTGATGAGAAAAACATCAAGATGTACCCTGTGATGTCACGTATACCTGTGGTGAGCTCAGCCAATCAGAAGTCAGGAAATAGTAGAAGTAAACATATTCTGTAGTTTTGTAGTTGATTTAATAAAATATAGCTGTATATTTGTCTTCACATTTGAATATTTTTTATTTTATTTTTTTATTATTTTATTAAGTATTTTTTTGGGCTTTAATTGCCTTTATGATAGAGACAGCTGAAGACAGACAGGAACGGGGGGCAGAGAGAGGGGATGACAAGCAGCAAGGCTCTGCCCACTGAGCTAACCGGGCGCCCAACATTTGAATATTTTTATTAGCAGTTTAATAGAAATAGAAAAATAAATGTGTGTTGCTCACCTGTCTGCAGTCACCAAGGTGATGATGTTCTCAGATGAATGCATTTCTGAAAGACAAATTAAAACCAGATTTAATGATCAAGACAGTTCATAGGTTTCATTTTCATTTTCTATCTGTGTAATTTGAAATAGATTTTATTACTTATTATAGACATTTGCTTCAAATTTTAACTTTACACTTCACTGAGGCATCATTACTAAAAAGAATAAAGAAAGAATAGAAAAGAGGCTTATACAGGTGTCTTTATGAGGTCTAAAAAAAGAAAAAGACTGTTACCATGGCGACTGAGCGTGCTCAGTTCCATCCTCAGGCTCTGTTGTGTGTGTCTGTGGACGGGATAAACGCTGACTCCGTCCTCCCACAGCAGCAACCAGGCGTCAGAATGACTCGAGGCTCCGCCCACCTCCACCACACACACTTTACTGACTGCTGAAGCCCCGCCCACCTCGGCATAAGACACACCCCCTGGCAGAATCACCTTCAAACATGAACACAGGTTATATTGATAAGTAGTACATAAATATGGTTATGATTATCAATCATATTGGTTTTACATTGTTACATCGATACGTGTAAATGTTTAATTTCCCAAATGAAGTCTGCTCTGAATCCAGTGAAACTAACTGGAGGTCTACAGAGTCAGGGTCTTTGTGGACTTGAATTGTGGATTTGGACTGAATGTCTAACCCAAAACCTGAACCCTAAAACCAGACCTGAGTCTTCAAACAGACTCAACACAGAGATAGAAACACGCTCTGCTTTACCTTCAGTATATAGACCAGGTGACTCAGCAGCTCGTCCTGGTTGTCAGCAGCACAGATCAGCTGATCACTCAACGTCACCATCTCAAACTCATGAGCTGGTCTGAAAACACACATATGAATGGGGAATGAAGTCCTTGTATCAGAATCAGAATCACTTTATTGGCCAGGTATGTGTGCACATACACAGATCACAAACACAGATTGACAGCATCAACAAACAGACACCGACTCATGTGCAGTTATGCATATCTATAAACAAACAGAAAACATCTATAGACAGTAGACAAAAAAATCTATATTTTACATGGAGGTTTCTTTATGTACATGAGATAGGTGTATATACAGTATGCATATTAGTAGTATTAATGAATTCCTAATTAAGGAAATCTAATAAGCACAGATTAAAAAAAAAACTATATATATATATATATATATATTAATAGAATGATAGAGATAGAAAATTAAATACTGAGCTCACAATTGTACTAATGTTGATTACATTACATTAAGTCGCAGTGACTTAAGGATTTATTTCCTCCAAACCAGAGTCAGTGAAGACTAGCAAAGACGATAATGGTCCGTTTGTATTCTTTTTCTGTCCACTTTAATGAAGTTAGGATGGTCTAAAGGTAAAATGAGTGTTTGTGTCTCTGGAGTCTGGTGGAGAGTGATAGTGATATTACGGCTGTTTGTTATTAAACTAAAGGTCCATCTCTGTAGGGATCCTTTCCATAATACTGTCAGACACTGACAATAACACCCTGAGTCTGTCAGTGGAACAAAAAACTACTGTTAGTGGAACAAACAACAACTACTGTTAGTGGAACAAACAACATCTACTGTTAGTGGAACAAACAACAACATCTACTGTTAGTGGAACAAACAACTACTGTTAGTGGAACAAACAACAACAACTACTGTTAGTGGAACAAACAACTACTGTTAGTGGAACAAACAACAACTACTGTTAGTGGAACAAACAACAACAACTACTGTTAGTGGAACAAACAACAACTACTGTTAGTGGAACAAACAACAACAACTACTGTTAGTGGAACAAACAACAACTACTGTTAGTGGAACAAACAACAACTACTGTTAGTGGAACAAACAACTACTGTTAGTGGAACAAACAACAACTACTGTTAGTGGAACAAACAACAACAACTACTGTTAGTGGAACAAACAACATCTACTGTTAGTGGAACAAACAACAACATCTACTGTTAGTGGAACAAACAACAACAACTACTATTAGTGGAACAAACAACAACAACTACTGTTAGTGGAACAATCAACTACTGTTAGTGGAACAAACAACGACAACTAATGTTAGTGGAACAAACAACTACTGTTAGTGGAACAAACAACAACAACTACTGTTAGTGGAACAAACAACAACTACTGTTAGTGGAACAAACAACAACATCTACTGTTAGTGGAACAAAGAACAACAACTACTATTAGTGGAACAAACAACAACAACTACTGTTAGTGGAACAAACAACTACTGTTAGTGGAACAAACAACTACTGTTAGTGGAACAAACAACGACAACTACTGTTAGTGGAACAAACAACTACTGTTAGTGGAACAAACAACTACTGTTAGTGGAACAAACAACAACAACTACTGTTAGTGGAACAAACAACAACTACTACTAGTTAGCAGCAGTAGCAGTATCAATATCAGTATCAGTGGTAGTATCAGTATCAGTAACAGTAGCAGTATCAGTAGCAGTATCAATATCAGTATCAGTGGTAGTATCAGTATCAGTAACAGTAGCAGTATCAGTATCAGTAGCAGTATCAATATCAGTATCAGTGGTAGTATCAGTATCAGTAACAGTAGCAGTATCAGTATCAGTAGCAGTATCAATATCAGTATCAGTGGTAGTATCAGTATCAGTAACAGTAGCAGTATTAGTATCAGTAGTTGTATCAGTATCAATAGTAGTATTAGTAGTATTTACCCATCTTTGAGGAAGACAGACAGAACTTCTCGCAGGTCGAGGACGTCACACGCTGCCGAGTTGTTTTCTAACGAAAAGAGAAAACGATCTTCCTCCAGTTTACCATGAAGCTCCTCCTCTTCCTCACCTGCACACACACAGACAGACTTGGTGACATTTTACACCAGTACAGTGATTGTTGTACGATGGCCTTTTGGTTCAAAACACAAAAAGATTTCAGTCAATAAAATAAATATTCTTATTCTTTGTTGTTTTTGTGAAATGTTTCCATGTTTGTCCTCTCAGAGCCACCATACTGATGTCATACAACTTCAAACATCGTTCATTAAGAAAAACAAACAAATCATCAACACGTTGTTTCATTAGCTCACTGTAAATCCATCATACCTGGGGGGCCGGAGTCAGGTCTGCTATTGGCTGACTGTGGCAGGTATGGTGGGACCTCTGAATAAAAACAGAAAATAACAGACCTGATTAAAGAATCGTCAACGACCACACCCACCAGTGATGTCACAGGGTCCCGGAGTACAGTGTGTGTGTATGTGTGTGTGTTACCTGTGTACTCGTTGAGTCGGAGCAGCTCGCTCTGCAGAGCCTGACCCGCCCTCTCAGCCAGCACGATGGGGGAGGGGCTCTGAGGGTCTGAATGACACACCTGCACACAGGTAACATCAGTCAGAAACAGGATGCAGAAAACACCAATTTACACCTCATTTACTTGCTGTCACATGTCAACATATATGTATGTATGAAAGAAACGTTCACAACAACAACAGTGTGAAACCATACGGTGTAGTACGGTGCAACGCGGTGTGACACGGTGAGATACAGTGTGACGCGGTGTGACGGGTGAGATATGGTTAAAGATACGGTTAGATAAGGTGTGATACGGTGTGATATGGTGTGATACAATGTGGTACGGTGTGATACAGTGTGATACGGTGAGATACGTGCAATGCGGTGAGATACGGTGTGTCATGGTGAGATACGGTGTAAACCCATCAGACCTTTGCTCCTGAGCAGATCAGAGACATTGTTTCTTCTATGTTGGCTCCACTAACGACCTCCCGCAGTCTCTGCAACAACAAATACAACATCCAATCAAAAAACTTTTATTATTATTCATTTTATCCAAACTTTGATTTTTTCTGAAGTGTTTCTATTAACACAGAATTCTTGTTTCTCATTCTGAAATACATTCACATTACATTAATGTGTTCATACCTCGTACACTAACACTGATAAATATGTTCATGTGATTTATCATGTGATTCATATGTTTTGGTTACAGGTAAAAGTCATACATGAGTTACCATGGTAACTGTGTTTGAGTGTCACACCTGGTCCATCAGAGAGTGCGATGACGCCAGAGTGTGGACTCGTCTGTAGCGACCCCCGCAATATTTGTCCTGGATGAACTTTGACCTCTCCTTGTCAGACGAGTCTGGGCGCAGCTGCTCCGCCGCCGGCACAGCTGGAGCCCACACCTGATTGGCCAGCCGGTTACCATAGGTAACAAACAGCTGGGAGAGGAAAGAGTGAAAGGCCATCTATGAGTGGTTCAGTCCCCCCCCCCACCACCACCTGTATGAGTGGTTCAGTCTGTTCCCCCTCACCTGAGTGGTTCAGTCTGTTCCCCCTACCTGAGTAGTTCAGTCCCCCCTCACCTGTATGTGTGGTTCAGTGCCCCCCCTCACCTGTATGAGTGGTTCAGTCCAGACCTTGTTGTCCATCTTCAGACTGCGTACCTTGGACAGGTTGCTGCCCAGACCTCGATGCTGACCTGAAAACAGACGCTGTTAGCATTCTGCATTCAAACCAACTGACAATAGATCAGGAAGTATTGGATACCTGTCCTCAGTGGACCCTAACCCCCCCAGTCATATTGATCAATATCAATAACTGCAGGAAGTTTGTAAAACCAGAGATTTGGATGATTATTTTTATACAAATCGGTATTATGTATTTTGTGTTTCAAATCCAAGAGTGAAGACTCTCTTCAACAATAATCTAAACTTCATTTAGTTTTATTAACAGAAATACGGACATATAGGCCTACTGTGTTTATAAGTACTATACTGTTTAAGGACTCGCAACCCCACATGAACCTTTGGTGACCCCACAGTGGATGAAGATCCATTCTAGTGCCTTTTTACTTTTCAAGGTTTTCAGGAGCTATTTAACATTTATCAGCTGTAAACTTCCTGTTTATCAAACAGACAACAAACACGGAGTTTATTTCTGGAGATTAACCTGGACCAGTTTTGTGATTGATTTTATTTTCTATCAGACAAAATGGCTGTTGTGTTCTGAATCAACTGTAACTTTATTTTCAGGTAGCCCAGTAAAAGAGGACTCGCAGGAATCAAAGTGAACTATAATGATGTTTCTGAACAACAGAAGAGAGGTAGACTTACACACCAGTCTCTGACCACAAGACTGAGGACTGTCTCCTAGCTTTCATTATTAACAGCTGCATTGCAGAAGAAATCTAAATGACAACTCTTCATATTGGACGTTTCTCTAAAAACATGTAAGGGGCACAGGTTTGTGTGCTGCCTCATATTTAGAAACGCCAGTCGGCAGACAAAGGTCTGGTATCTTGGGACTACAGACGGGGTTGCACAGGTGAGGTGAACCCAGGATTATCCTCCCTGAGTCCTCCGTTAGCTCCTACCTGCACAGGCCTGACAGATGACCAGCAGCAGGTTGACTGACGCCCACTCAGGATTGGCCGAGCCGCATTCGGCACACACCTTGTTGTCTGGGTTTTCCCAAAGACGCAGCGCCACCTGGCTGCAGGACAGAGCACTCTGGATGGACGAGGACAGACTGTCCAACCAGTGGGACAGATCCTTTGACGAATCAACAGAGAGGCTGCAGACAGAGGGTGGAGCCACATAGAGACAGAGGGCGGGTCCAAAAAGGGAAAAACAAAGAAGAAAGACAAAAAAAGAAAAAATGTTAGGACTTAATATCACTGTAGTAAAGGACAGCAACAGACGGACAGATGTAAAGACAGACAGGTGTGTACTTGAAGCTCTTATATGGAGTGATGAGGGTGAACGAGTGTTTTCCAGTGGATTTGACCGTGGCCACATTCAGGGGGACAGAGAAGGAGGCGATGCCCAGCTGGAAGCTCTCCTTGTTGGGATAAAGCCAGAGGTTGTGACCCCAGACAGCAGCGTAGACACGGCTGCGCGGGTCCTTGATGGTGATTTGTCCTTGGAGTTCCGGGGGGTGGGACTTGGCTGGCCTCGAGACGCCAGCAGAGACGAGACCCAACCTTCCTGAACCTCTGAGAGACAAGAAGAAGTATAAGTACACTGACTGGTCACACTGAAGAAGCTCGGACACAGCACTGTGGAGACTCATCACAACATTACAGTCTGAACTCCAGCTGAATGGAATATCAGTGGTATATTCTCCAGTGTTATTATCAGGCAAATTAATATAAAAGGAGAGAGGGGGACTGAAGGCTGTTGTTCACGGTTGATTAACAGGAGAAGAAAGAATGAAGGTAAATATTAATATCACAGATGGAGCTGGTAGTATTAGCAGCTACTGTCAATCTATTTTACTGAGCAGCAGAAGAGGAGGAAGAGGAAGATGGTGCTATCTTGCTGTTTGTCTTTAAGTTATCTTATGAAGTTTACCTAAAGCAGTGCTTAACTAAACAGAATAAATACGGAACAGGAGAAAGAAATGTTGCTGAAGTCGTCTGCTGCATTGGCTGCGTTGGTCTGTGTGACTGTGGGGGGGTTGAGAAAGTCTGTGAGTGGACCGATGGCTGGAGAAAAGAACCTCCTGGCTGCTGACTCACTAGTTCCCCCACTGGTTTTTGTGGAGCTAATCAATGCCGAAAGGTTAGAACACTTTATTGATTTGCCATTAATTTTCATAAACCTGCTGATATTCATAAACTACACAGTTGATCATTTAGATGTTGTCAGAAGTGAATTTTGTATTTAAATAATGCACGAAAATAGACGGACAGAATAGACGCAATGCATTATGGAGCGGTTGAGAGTGTGCAGATATTCTTATAATGTAGTTTACATCCGGATATTTCTCACATCAATAGAATTCACAGACTGAATAGCTGAAACACTACAGACTCAATCTGAGTATAAACTGTACGTTAGTTATAAAGGTTATAAACACAGACAGTTTCTACCTGTCGACTGTTCTCACCGTCATTATGAGCCATGAAGTCATAATGTTTCTTCCTGAAGTAAACAGAGAATCTGCCTTTGTCCTGTTTCTTCACATTGGTGATACTGGAGACATGAAACAGCACCTCACTGAACCGGTCCTGATCAACAAAACAAACACACCCATCACTGCACAGACAGACAGACAGGTATGCAGGGAGAGACAGGTAGACAGACAGAAAGGTATGTAGAGAGAGATAGGTAGAGAGACACTGACTTACTGTGCGTTTCTTCCATAGAGACATCAGCTGTCCATCCAATGTTGCCCATAAAACATTGTGTCTATTAGAGAGAGAGAGAGAATGTTTATCTGTGTCTCGATTATCCTCCTTCCATCATCCTTTCATCATTCATCCATTTATTCAACCATCCATCTAAAATTGGTCTGGTGTTCCTCCGGGATCTGTCCTGGATCCTGTTGTTTTATTATTCATTAACTAACAGACTGTCAGTGTTTACGGATCAAACTCCAGCTACCAGTAACAGTCTGAGGACTGTTATTGGTGACTGAATCCACAGCAGCATTTCTGAGAAACAGTAATGATGATGATGATGAAGAAGATGATGGTGATGTTACCTGAAGCCCTTCCAGACGTCCAGCCAGCTGGATCGGACCACGGCGCTCTGTGGAGAGGAACTCCCACTGCCCCCCTTCTTCCTGGACACTCGAATAGTGGCAGCCCTGCAGGACGAGCACACTTTAGACTGAAGCTCTTTCTCTAGTTAAATCAATAATCTATAATCAGTGTATAAACTCTAGAGCTATGTTCTATATGGAGTTGATTCAATCAATAATCTATAATCATTAAACAGTTTACAAACTCTAGAGCTATGTTCTTTATGTAGCTGATTCAATCAATAATCAATAATCAGAAGCTGTCATACATTGACTCTTTACCATCCACTGTTTAGATCTTGGTGCTTTTGAACTCTAGATTTGAACCGGATGAAGGATTTTAGTCATTGGACGTCTGGATCTTAAATTATCAGAGAAACAAGCCCCTCCGGGACGTCCTTTGTCTGTCCAACAGTGTGGGAGAAGCAGTGATTGTTAAGGTGGAACTGCTTTATTCAGTGTGTTTAGTGGTTTTAATCAGCGGGTCTGTTTGTGTTGGAGAGGAGGAGACCTCTGTGGATCATTGGGCTCCTGGTAGAAACCTCCTGAACCATGAACACTGAAGGAATCCTAACCGGGAGAAGCTGACTGCAATGACGCCAATGGTGGTGAAGACAACAACTCCCATGATCCCACTTTTTGATAATGACCCATTCTTATTGTTTTATTGTGAGAGACCCCTAGTGGCAGGAATTACCAATTGTAGGTTTATCTGCTGTAAAATCTCACAGAAGTAGAAGAAGAAGGAAGCAACAAACACAATATTCACAATGATGATGATTAACAGGACTCTTATTAAATATGACGTTTGGTGCAGATTGGACAATTTAAAGTGAAATTCCAACAACTTCATGGCGATGTCAATTTTGGATTCCACAGCACAGTTCTTGGTAACTTTTCACTTTAGATTGCACTGACCAAATCTGAAGTCAACCATGATCAGTTCCCTAGCAGGAGTTCTTTAAAGTACAACGTGTGTAAATGACAGAGATAACATATTGTAGGTTTAAACTCTGGAGTGAGTTTCACCAAAAAAAGTTATAAAGTTGAGCTAGGTATACTAACTAGCTAATGTAGCTATACAGTAGGTCTTTGTACTCAGTGAGGCCATAGATTGTCTGTAATGGCCCTCAGAAACACTCCGGCGGCGTCAGAAGACAGAAAGAAATTGATTGGACGCAGCATTAGAATACGCCTGAGTGCAGGAAGAGTCATCAAATACTTTTATTATCAGGAAACTCTAAAATACTTCCTGTCCCTGTTGGACAGAAACTGTAAGACAGGAGACAGGTGTGTTTAAATCTGGACTCTGAAACGGTATGAATGAGTACCTCGGCGTCTTCTGTTTCAGAGGCTTTGCTGATTGACCAGGAGGACGAGGAGGGGGCGGAGCCGGTCGAGTGGGGATTAGACGGCCTGAAGGGGTCGACGGGAAACTGGAAGACAAAGACAGGACGATGTGTTGGCAGCAGTAGACGAAGTGTCTCAGTAGGACTTATTGTAGTACTGCATACGTACTTGATGGTGTTAGAAGCAGGATCTCCTTCCATTGGTCCATTGGCACCAGAGGGGGCGGGGCTAACTCCTGTTTCTTCCTCCTCATTAGATGAGTCAGTGTCAACTTCCTCTTGACTCGCCCAACTAGCCAACAGGGTGATGTATGGGGTTTCTTCTTTATTGGCATGAGGAGACGGGCTAAAGACTGGAACCAGAACAAAGACAGAGGAATCAGACCGGCAGGAGGGTCCAGACCAGGGTCTACACCAGGATGAGAGGCTGTAAGCACAATACCTTCCTCTGTTGGCTCAGCAGCTCCCTCTAGTAAAGGTAACGTGACTTCTGCATTCTGGTCTAAAGCTGACATCACAAGCTGTGACAGCGCCCCAACATCTGCACAGAAACAGTCAACCAGGAGTGTCGGTTAAACTAAAGTCTGATTGATTGATTGATTGATTGATTGATTGATTGATGTACCTGTACAATCTCCAGGCCTCGGCCGTGAGGGGGGCGGGTCTGATAGGGTGGAGCAAACAGCTGGATTAGCCGCACTGCTAACAATACTGGCTAAACTGGGTATGTTAGCTAATGAGCTAAAGATGCTGTCTAAGCTGGCAGCACCGGTGTTAGCGGCAGATACAGATGTGGTGGTGGAGGCAGCTGGGTTAACCACAGCGCTAGCAGCTCCTGCTAAGCTAGGTATGTTAGCAGCAATGCTGTTAGCCATGCTGTCTATTGAGGGTGGGGCAGAGGGGGCTGGGGGTGTTGGCACAGAGGGGGCGGAGCCACCGATGGAGGTTGCAAATCCAGCCAATGACGGGATGTTGGTGGCGATCATGTCAGTGACGCCAGCCAGAGTCGGGAAGACGTCGCCGCGGTCCAACACAACGAGAGGAGGAGAAGGAGGAGGAGGAGGTGTTGCATCATCACCTGAAGAGGAGGACACAGTGATATCATAATCCGCTGATAGGCTGAGACATCTGTCAATCAAACAACCAGCTGCACTTCCTCTGATGTCAGACTCTGAACTCTGTCTTTACACAATAAGAGCCTCCTTATGATGCCTGAAAAGAGACTTTCACAATAAGAGTCCTAGTGTGATCCCAGAGAGGAGACTATCACAATAAGAGTCCTAGTGTGATCCCAGAGAGGAGACTATCACAATAAGAGTCCTAGTGTGATCCCAGAGAGGATACTATCACAATAAGAGTCCTATGGTGATCCCAGAAAGGAGACTATCACAATAAGAGTCCTATGGTGATCCCAGAAAGGAGACTATCACAATAAGAGTCCTATGGTGATCCCAGAGGATACTATCATTTCATTTTTCTTATCATTAAATCTGAATGTTCAGACTCAGTACAACAACCTGTGAGTCCGTCTCTTAATACTGTCTGACTTCCTGTCTGTGGCTATCAACTCCGAGCTGAGTGGTTCCTACTGAAGACTTTAATAACTCCTCACAGATATATAGTTTCATGTTTATGAAAGTTCAGACATTTCCTCTAAACAGCAGCTTTTATTAAACAGGAGTATATCATAAATAGGCAATAAATAGTGCAGTTTGTTGGGGATTATTTTCGGCTTTCTAGAATATTTGGGGCATTTAAACAACTGGAAGAATGTGGAAATTCAGAGTTTCTAAGAGAAAATCTTTCTGTAAAACAGTCTGTAAACCAAAACAAGAAGGTTGGAAAAGAGAAATATTAAACCTGATTTTTAACAAAATACCTGAAACTGGTGATTAACACCCAGACCAGATTCTGTCCTGAACCAGCAGCAGTGTTTACTTTCAGCTGAGATCATATGATCAGCAGTCAGGAGACAAACTGGTTTCAGATAATCATCAGACAAGAAACAGCAACAACAGATTTAATCTGCTGGAACAAACCGGTTGGACTGCCTTAAAACACGCTGCAGCTCGTCAGCACAGTCCGACCAATCACTGACCTCAGACAGACAGGCAGACAGGGTGACTTCTAATAACAGATCAATATGATTGATTGATGTCTGATGATATTGTGTGTGTGTGTGTGTGTGTGTACCTGTACTCAGGTGAACTCCATTAGACAAAACTGGTTGCAGACTTTCACCGATCAGATCTCTGAAATACAAAAAGTATATCTGAATAAATCAACATTATGTAACTTAAAGGTTCATTCTGTAGATTTAAAGGTTCATTCTGTAGATTTAAAGTTTGTTCTGTAGATGTAAAGGTTAATGCTGTAGATTTAAAGGTCAATTATGTAGATTTAACGTTTGTTCTGTAGATTTAAAGTTTGTTCTGTAGATTTAAAGGTTCATTCTGTAGATTTAAAGTTTCATTATGTAGATTTAAAGTTTGTTCTGTAGATTTAAAGTTTGTTCTGTAGATTTAAAGTTTGTTCTGCAGATTTAAAGGTTCATTCTGTAGATTTAACGTTTGTTCTGTAGAATTAAAGGTTCATTCTGTAGATTTAAAGTTTGTTCTGTAGATGTAAAGGTTCATTCTGTAGATTTAAAGTTTGTTCTGTAGATTTAAAGGTTCATTCTGTAGATTTAAAGTTTGTTCTGTAGATTTAAAGGTTCATTCTGTAGATTTAAAGTTTGTTCTGTAGATGTCAAGGTTCATTCTGTAGATTTAAAGTTTGTTCTGTAGATTTAAAGGTGAACTCACCTGTCCAAGGGAGAGGCGGAGCTCAGACTGTCCCTCATGTAACGAGAACGAGGCTTTGGGACAGGAACTGGAGGAGGAGTCATCTGGAAGAGAGGATAAATAATCTGTCAGGAAGCATCATTGTCTCCTAGCAACAGAAATCCTGACACACCCGAGTGATCACCTACAGACTGAAAGTCTGCAGCCAACATCTAGTTTGTGGATTTATTGATCTAGAATCACTAACTGATGTTATAACTGATGCTGGCTGCAGGGACTAATCTGCTCTTGTCTAAAGAATGTTAATAGTTTGGATCTTTACTAACTGATTGATTAACTGATTGTAGATAGTATTGACTATATTTTGAACTTGCATAGTTTTTATATACGTTGTTTCTGTGACAGTTCATCTTCAGATCCCACGAGAGCGCTTCAGTAGTGGAGCATCTTCAGAGTGCGTGTTCGGAGGTTGTTCAGAGCAGCTTCCTGTCCAACCGTCTTGATTTTCTCCTCTAATCTCCTCTGACTGATTGACTTCCTGTCTGGTGCCACAGTATCGATGTATCGTGACATTCGATGTAGAATCTGTATCTACGGGTATAGTCCAAACTGGTTTCAGACTGATGAACTTTATTTGGAGTCTCACTTTGTTGGTGTCACTGTGGACAATAAATGATGATACTCTACTATCTGACTCATCTGTGTTGTTATTCTGAATCTATAAACCAATAAAGGATAATCCTCTCTGATGAAGTGGCCTCTCAAAGTTTAGTGAACAATAAGAAAAGAGAAGAGAAGACAATAAGAATCTTTATTGAATATGACACATGAAGGGACTGTAGTGTAGTGGAAGGAGAACGGTATAGACTGCTCTATGTGAGTTAACTTTTATGGTTTGGAGCCACACAAATAAAACAGTTCTGTAACTGCAGTGGAAGACAGACAGTGTTATCAGCTTCTACCTACAGAGCTAATGCAGTGACCCGACTGATGAACCAACTCACAAACTATTATTAATATTATTGGATTCAGAATTTTTTTATTTTGATGTATTGATCACTTTATTTCCAGTAAGTGAACGGGATAGCTGCAGGTATTGATCTCTACAGATACTGATTATTTTGTTTTAATTAATGTTTTCAATCTGGTGATGACATCACGTGTATGAGTCATGAGTTGACACATGACAGTTGTTCCCATGATGATGTGATCAGACAGTTGTTGCAGTTCAGCTGGAAGGTGTTTTAGTTCCATTAATAATTATTATTATCAGTAATCATAATCAGTTGATTATTCATAAATCAGAGAGCAAAAGTTTCAGAACTTTGACTTAAACCGTTAATGACTTTATCTCTAATAATAATAATAATACATCATTTATCGTGTATATATATTCTGTATTACTGTAACAATCAGACTGATCAATGCGGTTCCCTCTCAAAAGTAATGGAGTATAAGAACATAACATAAAAGTACTTTCACCAATAATCCTAAAACTTTAAAACTCTTTGTCTTACCTTGATGCGAACTCCTGAAACCAACACCTGTCGATCTGCTCACCTGTCTGTCAGTTTACCTGTCTATAGGTCTACCTGTCGATCTGCTCACCTGTCTGTCAATTTACTTGTCTATAAGTCTACCTGTCGATCTGCTCACCTGTCTGTCAGTTTACTTGTCTATAGGTCTACCTGTCGATCTGCTCACTGTCTGTCAATTTACTTGTCTATAAGTCTACCTGTCGATCTGCTCACCTGTCTGTCAGTTTACTTGTCTATAAGTCTACCTGTCGATCTGCTCACCTGTCGCCGTCTGTTCTGGTCCACGTTATCGTCCTGCTTCAGCTCTACCTGCACTCCTAAAAACTAAAGTGCCAGATTTAGTCTCTCTCCAGGTGTGTGTGTTGTTGTTTGTCTGTCTTTGTGAGGACCTGTCGGGGTGCTAAAGTGGACTCACAGCTCTGCATTAAAGGGTTAAACTGCACCTGGTTCAGGTGTGTTCACCTCAACCAATCAGCTGTCAGGATACTGATCAGCTGTTTCAACTGTGAGTGTTTTTACAGTGAAGAAGGTGAAACGTCAGCGGTTCAACCTGCTGCAGGAATGTGTCTGTGTGTGTGTGTGTGTGTGTGTGTGTGTGTGTGTGTGTGCTGTGTGAACTTTGACCCGTTTAGGAGTGAAAACAATCTGCACTGTAAAAATCTTGATTCAAAACAACTTGGTTCAGGTTTGACAGACATGATTCAAATTCTAAGGAACTTTATTTGTGCAAACACATGACACAACCAGACGGTTTACAAAGAGTACAGACACACAAACTTCAACTGTTAAAATGTTATGTAAAAAATAGAATATGTAAAAGCCAGCAGTGGGTTCGGTGAGCCTATGAATGTCCATGAATAAATAACAAGTTGATGAAGATGAAGAGGAGGAGTGAAGAAGCTCTTTGAAGCTGGTGTTGAGTTGAAGTTGTGTTTAAATGTGGAGACATCTGCTGGTCAACTGTTGGTGTTACACTTTCACTGATTATTTTAGAACTCTTTCATACACAAATTCTGACCTCACTCAGCGTTTTTATTTATTTTTAGGCCACTGCATATTAAAAATATAAAATATAAATATATATAAAATACATAAATATATCATGTAAATATATAAAATAACATATTTGTATACTGTCAAACTAATGTGTTAACGTATTCTTCAGTGTAAAACCATTGAGTATATATTTATATAGTAATGTTTTTGACTGTCCTTACATAAACTCTACTAAATATTATTTTTATTACAAACACTGTGAGTTACATTTTTTTTATTTTATAAGTTCAGTTTGCATCAAACATCCACAGAGCCACCCTCCATTTGTGGTTACGTCATACAATCATACATGATCTGTGAAAACAATGTTTAGATAATCATTTATCTTCCAACTACCCTCCTTATCCCCATGGCAACCCGCGTGACCCTAACCCCCTTTATACAGTCATACAGGGGTATTTAGAGTCTTTCAAGGGCAAGTTGTGGGCAGCTGTGGCGCAGAGGCAGAGCGGGTCGTCCCCTGATCGGAAGGTTGTTGGTTCAATACCTGGCTCACAATGCTGTGCATGGTACATGGTGTATAAATGTGCATGAATGTGCTAGTTTCTGTTCAATGGGCTTTGCCATATCAGTGAATGTGTGTGAAAGGGCAAATGTGCCATGTAGTGTAAAAGCACTTTGATTGGTCAGAAGACTAGAAAGGCGCTGTACAGGTCCATTTACCAAGTTAGAATTTTCAATTTACTCTGGAGTGGCTGTGGTTCAGAGGCAGAGCGGGTTGTCCACTAATCAGAAGGTTATTGGTTTGATCCCCGGCTCCTCCCGCCACGGGTCGAAGTATCCTCGAGCAAGATACTGAACCCCGAATTGCTCCTGATGCATCGGTGTTTGAATGAGTTAGTTTATGTTCGATGGGCTTTTGCCATCACTGTGTGAAAGGGTGAATGTGGCTGTAGTGTAAAAGTGATTTGAAGACTAGAAAGGCGCTATGTAGGTCTATTTATCATTTACCACTTAATTTGTATTGATTCAACCTGAATTAGGTTCTCTGCCCAGATGGTTTTACTGTTGGAACCAATTGAGAGAGAATATTAATGTGACATATTAAACACAGTGGTGGTTGCCAGCTAACGGCTAACATTATACGTCTTTGTAAGTGTGTACAATGTGTACAGTAATAGGAGAACAACAGAATGACTCTGCAGTCCCAAACATAAAGAAACAGAAATGAGCCAAATTGATCGTCTGAGCAATATGAAACAATAAGTTTCATATGGTCATGTTTTTTGGGTGTAACATAAGTTCTATGAATGAAATGTATTTTCTGATGGCTTGAGTTAATAGATAATTTAACTATATGTCCCAAAATTATTTTTCCACATTTTTGGGCTCTAAAAGGGTTAATGTGGTTAATGCAGATTCAATGAACGGCCGTCTGAGAGGGGGTCAACAGGTGAGAACAGGTACAGAGCTAAACTGGAGTTTATCTGACACACTGAAACCCGATTGGACGGCGGTCGACAGGTGTGTTCAGTTGTTCTGGCTGATTGGACTTGGAGGTTGAAGGTGGACTGGTGCATGATGGGGATTTATGAGGTCATAAATCTCAACCTCCAATAGAAACGATAAAGGTGTCATTAGCCCCACCCTCACAGGTACAACAAAGCTAACAGGAGTCTCAGGAAGATGTCAATCAACCTGAGGTCAACCAGGTAAACTGAACACACCTGTATGTACCTGACTGCTGCTGAGATCTAAAGTTTGTGACAGGGACTGATCACCTGTGCAGGTACACACACTTCCTGTCCAAGAATCAAAGTATAGTGTGTAAAAAGAGAGTGGAGGACTGATGTAACGGAGTTAATGATTCCACTTGCCATCACTTGGCATAGAATGTTCTTATTTTACTATATCAGTTGTTTAAATACTGTTTATAATTAATTCTAATGAGTATCCACTGGGACTGTGTGTAACATGAGCGCCCTCTGCTGGGGCCCGTGCAGACTTGAGCGGTGCAGCCCGTGCATCTTTGCCAGTCTGCACTATGCTGTCCCCGTGGTAAGTTATGTGTAGTTATGTGTTTGCCTAAATGAATCCACCCCCCCCCCAGTCATATTAATACTCACATTCCTCGAGGCACAGGCCGAGGAGGTGGAGTAGCAGCTATATATGATTCGAGCGTTTTAATGGACCCTAAACCTAAACTAAATTATAATTCATTTGAAAGCCTTGTTCTTAGTCTTTCTCACCCAAACTGGAAAACACTGCAGCCAGTTCTATTTGTTATAGTGTACCGCGCTCCTGGACCGTACTCTGATTTTATATCTGAATTTTCAGAGTTTCTATCAAGCTTAGTCCTTAAATCAGATAAAGTAATTATTGTAGGTGATTTTAATATTCATGTGGATGTTGACAATGACAGCCTTAGTAATGCATTTATATCATTAATAGACTCAATTGGCTTCTGTCAGAGTGTAAATAAACCAACTCATTGTTTTAATCACACTCTTGACCTTGTTTTATCATATTGCATTGATATCGAACATTTAATAGTCTTCCCACATAATCCTTTCCTATCTGACCATTATTTAGTAACTTTTGAATTCATACTATTAGATTATAAGCCATTAGGCAAAACTTCCTACAGCAGATGTCTATCTGACAGTGCTGTAGCTAAATTTAAGGAGGAGATTCCTTCAGTGTTTAATTCAATGCCATGTCTGAATTTAACAGAGTCCTATAACAACTTTAGTCCCTCTGAAATTGATAATCTTGTCGATAGTGCTACAGGCTCACTACGATCAACATTAGACTCTATCGCTCCTATAAAAAGGAAATTATTAAAACATAGGAGACTAGCACCTTGGTATAACCACCAAACCCGCCAGTTAAAGCAAATAGCTAGGAAATCTGAAAGGAAATGGCGCTCTTCCAAATTATCAGAATATCGCTCAAATTGGCAAGATGATCTTAAGATTTATAGAAAGGCCCTCCGTAATGCCAGAGGAGCCTATTACTCAGCACTAATAGAAGAAAATAAGAACAACCCTAGGTTCCTCTTCAGCACTGTAGCCAGGCTGACAGAGAGTCACAGCTCTATCGAGCCACATATCCCCATAAACTTAAGTAGCAATGACTTCATGAGCTTCTTCTATAATAAAATTATTACTATTAGAGAAAAAATTAATCACCAACTGCCATCAACAGTTATCAGTGGCTCTCCAAGTTCAGGGACTTCTGTCAATGTAAACTTAGATGTATATTTAGACTGTTTTTCTGCTATCGATCTTCATCAGTTAACTTCAATCATTTCTTCATCGAAGCCATCAACCTGTCTGTTAGACCCGATCCCAACTAGGCTGCTTAAAGAAGTTGTTCCCTTAATTGGCACTTCTTTACTGGATATGATTAATCTTTCTTTATTATCAGGATATGTACCACAGTCCTTTAAAGTAGCTGTAATTAAACCCCTTCTTAAAAAGTCTACTCTTGACCCAGGGGTTTTAGCCAACTATAGACCGATTTCTAATCTCCCCTTCCTCTCTAACATTCTGGAGAAAGTAGTCGCCAAAGAGTTGTGTGACTTTCTACATAACAATAGTTTATTTGAGGATTTTCAGTCAGGATTTAGAGTTCATCATAGCACAGAGACAGCTCTGGTTAAAGTTAATAATGACCTTCTGACTGCTTCTGACAATGGACTTGTCTCTGTACTTGTATTATTAGATCTTAGTGCTGCATTTGACACCATTGACCATGATATTCTTTTACAGAGACTTGAGCATCAAATTGGCATTAAAGGAACTGCCCTAACCTGGTTTAAGTCATACTTATCAGATCGTTCTCAGTTTGTACATGTTAACGATGAATCCTCCATAAATACTAAAGTTAGTCATGGAGTTCCACAAGGTTCTGTACTTGGACCAATACTATTTACTTTATATATGCTCCCTTTAGGCAACATTATTAGGAATCACTCCATTAACTTTCACTGTTATGCAGATGATACGCAGTTATATCTATCAATCAAACCCAATGAAATTAATCAATTATCTAAATTACAAACATGTCTTAAGGACATAAAATCCTGGATGACCTGCAATTTTCTGATGTTAAACTCAGAAAAAAACGAAATTCTTGTTCTTGGCCCCAAAAACCTTAGAGACTCATTGTCTAAAGATATAGTCACTCTAGATGGCATTAACTTGGCCTCTAGCTCCACTGTCAGGAATCTTGGAGTTATCTTTGATCAGGATTTGTCATTTAACTCCCACATAAAGCAGACCTCTAGGACTGCCTTCTTTCATTTACGTAATATTAGAAAAATTAGACACATACTATCACAGACAGATGCAGAAAAACTAATCCATGCATTTGTTACTTCAAGGCTGGATTACTGCAACTCTTTATTA